CCACCCCTTGCCGTAATGTCCGTGCCATTTTTACCGTGCCACTCCGTAAAACGTGCCTGTGCGTGCCACACAATCCGAGCCACTTCGTACATTCTCGAAACCAACCCGTACCACAACACGTACCACTTTTCTTATAAGGCTACGGAATTATCAGATTCACGAAAAGCCTTGACTGTTACTCTATATGATGATGTACGTGGCTGTGCGTATTTATATTTAGAGCTAATTCTATTAGTCAAAAATTCGTGTAACTGAAATTTTTTTTATAGTAGTTGTCCGTAGCAATTTCCTATAATTAAGTCAGGGTATTGACCAATTAAATCTCAAATTTTAAAATTAGATTTGTATCTAACAGTCAATGACTTTTGATCCAGTGATCCGATTCGATGCTTTTGTGAACAAAATGTCTGTCTCAATAAGCAATTCCAACGAGCCACAAATCATCCAAATCTGATTGCTGGACCCTGAGATCGTTAAGGTTTTTGTTCTATTTCAAGTATATTAAAAAATGGTTAATTAATTTTAATCTACCTGAAATATTATAAAAACCATGATAATCTCAAGATCCAACGATACGTAAGATCTGGATGATTTTGGACTTGCTGAAATTGTCTCATTGAGACAGTAATTTTGATGGTAAAAATATTAAAATCGGGTCACTGGATCAAAAGTTATCGATTGATAAATATTCATTTATTAACAATAATAATTTATTTTTATATAATTAACCCAATAACTTATTAATCAATAGTATTATTTGTGTAACAATATTGGAGATATATCTTGGTTATATTATTTACATACTTATAGGGATATAACTAAAAGTTAATAAAATCTGATATAAAACAAGTAAAATCAATATAAAAAATTTATCCTGTAAAAAATGGAGATATAACTTAGGTATGACTGTAATTATTTATATCATATATTTTGTTTATACAAAATTCAAGTAACAATCTTAGATATCAAATAAAATTAAACATTATAAAATGGCAGTATCTCCGGATTTTTCATTATCAAAATTATCATTAATTGATATGTCATCAACAAAAATAATTTTCGGGATTATAATATCATCTCTAATCCCTTTCTTTACCTCGTAATGAGATAAATTTTTGAAATTATTTATTTTATAGGCAAAGCTTGACCAGTCAACAGTAGTGTCCGGCGTCTTAAAATTTTTTTATGAACATTTCGTCTAAATAAACATTCTATAATAAACATAGATATGTATGCAACCATCAATATAATATAGGCAGGATGTACTGATATACATGATGTATTTATTTGTACAGGCACATTATCAATCGATGCTGTCTGTGTATTTTTTACAGCAAGATATGATGCATATATTGAGGTGTCATGTCCGTTTATAATAGCAAGGTTCCAACAACCTCTTCCAATTATAGTACCAGATACTTCCACATCTGCATCTATATAGCGAATTAAGAAGTTATAACTTCCGTCTTCACCCTCTTTAACACGTTCAACTTTACATGTGTATGCCTTAACAGCAATAGGAACTGATACAATTTCAAATACAGTATTATTATTATCTGGGTTGTAAGGGATTCTAGATGCTTCTGGTATTCTAAGTGTCCATAGCCTGTTTATATACTGGAATCCAACTACTTCAGAATCGTTTTCTCGTGTAAACTCTTCCATCATTATTATAAATGCACTGCATGCTTGAAAATTTTCTGTATAATCAGTTCTATTATAATAAAGAGTTCGCCTATAACTAACTCTTGTATTGTTATATCCATCAGGACTATTGCGAAATTTATACTCTGCATGTACTTCTGGAAATGTATCAACTATAATTGATTCTGGAAATGATTCAACTGTAGCAGATTTTAAATACAAAATTGAAGTGTTCATATTTACTTGGATCAATCCAGATCCATAGAGTGAACACGAGCTTCTGAATGGGTAAGGGTCGACGTCAAGACGAGTATTGAATTTCCAGCGAGGATCTAAAGGAATTTGCCCTATTAATATGTCATTTGGAACACAACTCATACTTCTTTTCTGCCTCATTGCACTTACATCTGCTGATCTATGGTTACTATTTATTATTTGTGCTTGTGTTGTTACAGTAACTGCTTTACATGAATCAACATAGTTTATAGAATTTATAACAATGATACCATCAAAAATAGTAAGTATCAGACCAAATATAACAGCTTGTTAATAATTGTCACTGGTATTATCCATTTCTTATACAGAAACAGCATTTTATAAACATCTATAACGTTAGTCGGTACTATAGTTTCCATTATTGGCACCTTATGATCTTTAAGAAATAAATTTAAGGTTCGATTTTTTACAGCATTATTCAACAAGAAGGTCCATGTTAGACCAATGATATTAAGTATAAACCACAATATTGTTTGAATTAAGCTTAAAGATAACGTGGTTTCAATCTCAATACCCATAATGAAATATCAAAGTAAATATATAATTAATGATAGTTATTTTTCATATGGCAGTTATATTAACTAAGCTTTAAAAACATGGTCAAAAGCTTATTTATAAATATTTTGTCAATGGTGGAAAATACAAAAATCAAAGATGTTTCGTGAATCTATAAATAAGACTTTTCTAATCAAGCGTATGATTTGAAAAAATAATATCATAATTGTAGTAATATGAATTTGAATTATGAGTTTATCTAAACAGACACGCTAAACCAGAAATGGATGAAAGAACTAATTGTAATGGCGGCCTTATTTAGGAAAATTAAAAAATTCTAAATTGAACCAGAGAGGTTATTGTATTAATTATGGTATAAATTTAGAAATAGTTATGATATTTTAGTTGAGGCAAAAATCTGTCTTTGTCACGCTAAAATTTTTCTTGATGTTATCTGTTAATCGCGCCATGTCGATCTCAGGAAGAATGTATCACCGTTGGATGAATTTTAAGTGGTTGATTGGACAGATCTAACCTAAATAGTGTAGCCAACCTGTAATTCCTGAACAGACTAGGCCAGATAACAAGTTATTGAACTTTTTTCAAACCACCCAGTTAGTTCCCTTGCTCCCATCAATTGTTCTTAACACCAACTAAAAACTCACGTCATTGAAAGTACCGAGGATAATGGCTGGAAAACGTTATCCGAAGGATTTATTGACCATTGTTTGGCGGACTAACATGAGGCATTCAATTATTATAAAGCGCCGTTGCCGTTACAGGCTTTTCATTGATGGTTAAGAATGAGTACACCGTTGAAAACATTCCAAGATCACATAAACAAAGCTCAATGATCGGAGATTAATTAAGGAATCATTTTTCACTTTTCACAAAAACTCAGATTTCGATCTACCCAATAAACAAACAAATATAAGTAAGTAGGAATTTCAAACCCAAAAGCCACTTATAACCAAAGATAGTGAACATCGAATTCTCACATTTAACTTGCGTAGCATCGTTTGTTGATCATGTTGATTTATTAATTCATTTATCGTCAATCCAGATTCCCAGATTCACATAAATTTATAGTATCGATTTATTGACTTGATTAATTATATACTAATTATATTTCAATACACTTGATTTGATCAATCAGTTATTCACCCTAGACACTTGCACAATCTAACCTTTCTCACATATACAGCGTCATGTTCACCATTATTCCAAGTTTATAACACCACCCTTCTCCATTTAGTATCCTGCCACCACCATTTTTGACACTCTTCTAAATTGAAATTACACTGTAACAAATTTAAGAGGCACTCTCTAACGTCATCTCTTTCGATAAAATTCATAATTGGGCTGGAGCGGAGGGAAACGGAGTGTAAGTCCTTTCTATGGTCTACTAATTTGGGTCGATGTCCGGCTC